TTTTTTTTTTTTTTTTATATACTTTTTTTTGTTTTTTGATCCTTACTCTTTTTTTTTACCCCTCACCCGCTTTCTGATGGGTGGGCTGTGGGCATTGCTGCAGGCAGACATCTGGGTTCCTCTCGCGCCTTGTCCGATCAAGGTGTCGCTTTTTGAGCATATCGCGGCTTGTTGGGTGTATCGCAATGGCCTGTTGCATTCCACGCCGGGGGTGGTCCTCAGCCTGGTGTTCACACCGTGGGTTTTGAATCGAACAACATGTTGTTTGCCGACCAGTGCATGTTGGAGAACTGTCCTTGGGTCCGCAGTGCCGGCCTAGATGTCAATTCCGGGAAGGCATGTCTCGTACATAGGCGTATCTTTGCGCAAACACGAAACGTGCACGCTGTGCTGCGGTTTCACCACAACTGGGACATGTGTCTGAAGTTTACATGGCCGCTGCGCAAAAAACGCCTCGAGTAGGTGGTCTAGAGGCATGTTTTCAAAAAATGTGAGCAATGCCCGCCTAGCTCAATCGGTAGGGCGCATTGCCCTCAACCTTGGGTTCGGGGGTGAGTCGAAGCCTCTGCTTTTGCCCAGTCTGTTGAAGTTGATGCTGATGTTGCAACCCCGTCCTCTGATGGTTTGGCTGCTTTGGGGCCTCCAGACGGAGATGAGGGAAGGGCTTTTGAAAGGGTCTGACGCTTAGGTAGTTTTTCAGTTGAGCACGCCTACTCCAATTCCCGAACAACCCTTCTTGCCACCTTTGCAGTCGGGCCAAGCCCCTCTCCGAATGAGTGCGTCGAAATCCCGGAATCCTGATGTTGACCCGGATGATCTTGCTGCCTGAGCGCTTCGCAACACCCAGGAAGGTATGCGTTCCTCGCTTCTATAGGCTGGATTTGCTGTCCGGCAAGAGCTTTAGCCGGTTGGGGGCAAGTATGGTGGCATGGCGTCCAATCTTGCAACTCATGGAGCTCCCGCTGTTCACAGGCATCAGAACTCTGGTACTTTGATCTTGTGTGAGTTCTGTTGCGACAGCAACTCCATGCTGGTTGCGTCGGGGAAGAGTCGCCGGTCTGAAGACATGATAGATCTTGAGGTCCTTGAAGCAAATAAGCAGCTCATCGATCAGGTGAGTGCCACCCTGCAAAGGATTGTGATTTCTCCCGTAAGCTCGTGCTGTCCTTTGCGCGTGCTGCAGCTCTTGTGCTTGCGTGTGAGGTTTTTTTTAAGTGGCCAAGACATGCTGCAGGTTGGAGTCTTCTTGAGATGGCAGCATGTCAGCACCAATTTGACCTGGTGTTCGCGTCCTTTAACGGAGGTGCCCTGGGTCTCACCCCTGCAGCCGGCAACCCTATGTTGAGGCTGTCTGTTGCCTCCAATTATGCCCCCTGCGTAGTTGGTCGGTGGACTTCTGGTTCTTCCTGGCAGTCCGGCTGCCAAAGAGCGTTTCAGGACAGAGTCTTCAATTGTCCAGTGCGCAGTGAATCTCCTTCAAGGCTCACTGGTTGAAAAAGCAAATTAGACATTTTCTCCCTTCCCTCATTTGCCTGCTGAGTCTGGCAGCACTAAGCTAGGTCCGACGTCGTTGTTGACTTGGACAGGCCGCGCAAGGAAAGACCCAGAAACAACTGTTAGGGCAATGCTTGCTGGCAAGGCCCATTTGCCTTTGCCTTGGTATCTGACTCTGCCTTTGCCGCTTGCCCTTCTATGTGCCCCATCGTTTCACCAATTTATCGGGAAACAGGATGGCAAACCCCGAATTCCCTTGGACATTTTGATGTTCGAATCGGGTCTCAGGGGTTGAGAGGCAGAGGCTGCGCTCATCCCCTTCCCTTTTCGATCGTAAAGAATGGGTTGGCCAAAGGGGTGCATATGACCTGCTGGTGCAGGCACATGGATTGACAACAAATCATTTCCTAGTGGGAAGTTCCAGGATTTCCACTGTTGCGCACTATGGCAGCTTGATGTTTATCCTGTCTGTCAAGAGCGCAGGGCTAGAGCCGGACTTGTGGCGTCTAAAAGCACGCATCATGTTCAGAGGAGATGATATGTCTGCAGTGTTCGAAGAGCTGTATGCATCATCACCTTCGTCTCTTGCTGGGTTGACCACACTTGTAGCGTTTGGACTGCTAGACGGCCACCCGTGCACCATGCCGGATGCTTCACGGGCTTATGTACAAGCAGCGCTTCAATCGAAAGATATGACCTTTGTGCTTACCCCCCAACAGGCGGCACTTGGTAAATCCATGTGCTCCTCTTCACAAAGCCCTATATGGGCATCCCAAATCTTCTCACCGGCAGCATCGCCTTCACGCAATTTTGGTTGGACTACATTGGAATTTTGAAAGCAGGCCTTCAGTTTATTATTCGGAAGCTTTTAGCCCTTTGCTCCGTGTTTATGTTGACGGCTTGACTGTGTTCGGAAGGATGGAGGTCCACTCCATGTTTTGTAAGGGACTCTCTGATGGAGTAGAGTTTGCACCCATTGATTGCTCCTCTCCACAATGAAGTCTTAAGCAGAACTTATAAGGAAGTGGCCTTCAGTGGTTTTGCCTTTGCCAGACACTGCGTGGTGCTGTACTACTCTACCATTAGCGAGGAGATCAAGAAACAATCTATCCGTCATGTAGATCTCGGCTCGCTACCTCCGTGCGTTGATAGCAGTGCGGGACAGTTGGCATCATCGTGAAGATTCTTTGGCTTGCCAGACTGGCACGTCCAGATCGTGTGGTTTCTGTTACTACCCTTGTTTTTCGGGTGAGTTGCTGGTCGTTCAAAGCTGACTGTTGTTGTGCAATTGTTGTGAGGTATATCTTGGCCACCACTGTGTGTGCTTCAATCATGTACGTGCATGTCAAAACGGCCGACCTTCATTTGGCCTTCTGCCTTGACTCTGATTTCCGTGGATGCGTCGAAACAGCCAGGTCCACCTTTGGCCACATCATCGCCCTCGGAGGCGACAGCTCGCTCAAGTTGTTGTCATGGTTCTCCAAACAGCAGAAAGAAAGTGGTGTCGGCCGATCTTCCTGTCCCTTACAGGTGCCTTGTTCGGAGACGCTCTTCCCCCATTTGCCCTATTTGGTGTATGGCAGACTTTTATGCCCGTGAAGACAACCAGGCATGCATCACCATTGCGCGAAAAGGATTTTCATCCAAGATTCGAAGTTTTGTCAAGACTCACATTGAGTTGTCCCATGCCGGGACCGATTGTCAGAGAAATGATCCTCTCACCAAGCCTTTGACGGTCCAGAAGTGAAAGCACGTGATCAATCGCTAAACTTCCAGACTACCATCTCGTGCTCCGTGACGTGACGTCTTGCACTTTGAAAAATGATGGTTCCAGTTCATGCTGAGCATCAAAACCGTCAGGGCATAGCGGCCACAAACGTGTAGACCAGGTCGTATGAAAGGTTCAATTGGGAAGGGTTCAGTGCGTGATCAATTCATACGTGTCCTTCATCAGCCGCCGTATAGTTCGTGCATCGCGTAATCCCCACATGCCGGAAATCACTTGCAGGTCCGATATCATTGAGCAGAGCCCGTGATGTTCATGAGTTTCAAGAATCCTTTTGAGAGATAACACAGCTCCTGGACTGCCCACAGATATGAAACAGGGAACTGACAAACTACGGTTATCTCCTTTTGTGTATAGTCATGCTATGTAGATAGATGTATCCTGCACTTGATATGTTTGGCCGAAAGATAAGAATTCTTACCTGAGTTGTGCCCCCTGTGTTGAATTGCTGGAGCCTCAGGTAATCATTCTTTCAATTTAGACATTTCCTAAAATCTAACAAGCCCCACCTCACGTTGTGGAACAAAACACATTTCGGTTAGTATCCGAGCCAAGGCCTCAGCAAGATATTTTCGACTTGGAGGGCAAGCTCATGGGACTCCGTGAGGAAAATGAGAAAATACGGTGTCCCAATTGCACGTTTCTGCTTTTGCCTCTTGTATGTTTCCATTTGCAACAACTGGTGTTTTCCGGCGCAGTTGTCCCGACATGTAGTTTTTACACCTGGGATGGCGCGGTCTTTCTTTTCCCCATCGCTGACTTTGGGGTGACAATGCGCATGAAGATACTTACAGTGAACGCCCACACAGCAATGAGGCAATGATACTGTAGAGCCTGCGATTGGCCAGTGTCGTATGCTGACTGGAATATGACTGGGGAACTGTTGAAACCTGGTTTGCCGCTGAGGCTGTGCCTGGTTCCTCTGCTCCTCATCTAAATGGTGCAGGGCTGACCATCGGTGAGAGCGAGCTAAAAAAATTGCACCGCTTAGTATCCCCGAAGTATTGTAATTGCCACTATTGCCACTATTGGGGCTGTATGAGGTTCAAGATATCCTTTATGCACAGCAATTGCCAGGTGCATAGAGCACACACAGGCAAACAAAGTCTAATGAAAGCTTGGGCCGTTCGCGAGTTGAAAGATCGAATGGGTCGTGCACTTCAAGCTACTCAAATTTCCCATGTTTGTTGGTCTGCAATCTGCCATCATTTCATTATTTATGGAACGAATCCTGTGATTCGTTATTGCTGTAGCATTACATTCAAGGAATGACTTGTGGCGGCTCTCCTCCGACGCTAAGGCAGGGATTTACTGAGCGGTTGAATTCCGGTTCTTAGACGTCAGAACACTGACTTGACCTGGGCGTGCTGCAGACTTCACACTGTCCCACATTGATTTGCGTAGGCCTTGTGCGCGCTATGCCTCTATGGCAAGCTGAAGGAATTTGGAAGGCTGAGCCCTTGAAAGGAGACTTTTCCAGGCAGAGCGCTCTGCCTTTTCTGTTTCACTTCCATGGGAGCTAGTGCCCCACACCTTTGGCGTGCTGCGTTATTCACGCGCAACCAAGACCAAGACATCGATGTGTGTGGACAAATGCCTTGCATATGCTAAGATCGGTGTCAAGAAGCGGCAGATGCTGCTTCACCATACCTGAAGTCGGGAGGCCCTTGTTCGGCATCTCGCCAAAGCGAAACCATCATGCAAGCTAATGCAAGGTAGACTTCACGTCAGTTATTGCGGTGGTTGATCCTTTCAGGGAGACGATCACATTCTGGCGCGGGCGCGAGGTTGGCTCTGAATTGAGAGACTTGTGGCGGCAGTGTGGAGTGAGAGTGGTGGTGGTTGTGGCGGCGGCGGCGGCGGCGGTTGTCATCGTTGCGGTCGTAGTCATCCTGTTGGTCATGATCTTGGTCGTCGTCTTGGTCATGGTCGTTGTCGTTCTGTCGTCGTTGTTGTTCATTGGCGGATTGTCATGGCTGAGAGCACATTTTCTGACGTGTACTTGTTTGCCGTGGTTTCAGCCTCCTGAGCACAAACTTGTACGCATGATGCTGTCAGATCTGGTGATTGCAGTTGCTGCCACCTTTTTTTTTGGGCCCCTCAAATGTTGCTGGAATGATGCATTTGCAGCAGTTGGCTTAAGATGCACAGGCCCTACACAGGGAAGCGGTTTTTTGTCAGATGAACGGCAAATATGCCGTGCCAGCCTTCCTTGATGTGAAATCAAAGGATGGTAACCTCAACTTGGTGTTGTGTGTTGTGAGTTACTCTGGCTGCAAAAGGGTATTCCAGAGCCCCCGGACGTGCATAGTTCATTTTGAATTCAGCCGAGGCTCTGCTGTTGCAGGCATCGGGATCGGCCTGTTCGGGTGCCTTCTATCAGCAGCTGATCACATCAGGCCCATGCCTTCTGTTTTGAACCAGATGCAACATGGCGCAAGAGAAAGCTGATGGGAAAGCAGGACTGGGAGGGAAAGAGTGTCAAGATAGGAGGAAGTGTTCCGCCCTCAGCTGGAGCAGCAACACTGTGACAAAACACAGCAACAAAAGGAGCCGAGAAATACTGAAGAAAGAAAGGTCAGTTGGAAGAAAGAAGCAATGTCGCGAGAAGAATGTGAATGACATGCAAGAAGTATGGAAGGAAGAAGAGCACGAAAAAGTGCGCATGTTCAGGCAGTAGTTGCAGCCAAGGGGGGGTGATAAAGACACACAATGAGTGGTAATGAAAAGGCTTTTGCTTCACCGGTTACTTCTGCCAAAGAACATGTCAAGTTGTTTGTCATCCACTCAGCCCTGCGTGAAACCTCTCAGTTTGGGGTCATTTGATTATATTCGTAGGGGAAGCAGTCAATGAATTCACCAGCATGAGACTTTGGCGGTCCGGGTGTTGGGTTTTGCTATGTCTGTCTCTGCGCAATGCGCGTTGATTTTGAATCGTGGGATGTACATCTGGTGAGCTCCGTTCGCTGCTGGAGGTTTCGTCGTGCGCTCAAAAAGCTTTCACAAGCACCCTGGCAACCAACCACCAAAGAGGATGGCTGACACTCCTCAAACTGAAGTCTTTCTCTTGCACCTGCTGCTTTCGTGTGCGCTTGACCAAGTTCAGCTTGCTAGACAAGGAAATTTGGGAATGTTCGGTTTCTCTCCTCCGTATGGCACTGTTCTTTCTGCCATCCGGTTCATCTCATCTCGCTGCACTTTGTCTGTGCCTTTTGGCTGATTTGCTGCTTGTGTTTCTGTCAGCTCATACATCATGATACGTCCCTTTGAGAACATGTGTTGGGGTGGTCGTAGCTTTCAGTTTCAGTGGTGGTTCTTTTGGCTGCGTATGTCCAAGTTCCCTATTCGTGGTTGCAGCAACGTACTTGTTCGTTCTCTGGTCTTCGCGCAGTCTGCACAGTCAATCCCGGCGCAGGCATTGCAATTTTGAAAGCTCCATCTTGAAGGTCTAAAAAACCTTAGCTAACTGTGTTATGAAACAGCTCAAGAGTCAATACCCTGCAGATCATCTGCTATCGCAGTTGCAGTTTGCAGATGAGAACACTCACAGCATGAGCTTGGAAATGAGAGCATTGAGGCGGCGGAACGGCGGATTGCACACCATGCGCAGCCGGATCTACTCCTGGCAGCCCGGTTGTTTTCATGAACAGTTGGTGTGATCAATGGACAGTTCGTCCTTGGCATGCCTTGGTTGCCAAGGATTGGCATGGTTGGATCTGTGGTATTTGGTTTGTTTTCGCTTGTGGGGCTCATATTTGGTTCCGTCAGCCTGGCCACTGTGGTGCGAGCTGGATCAACGCTGCCAGCGAATGCTGTCTTCAGCACGGGGCTCTGCATTGATTCATTCTTGCAGTTGCTTTGCATGTTGCAGACATTTGCAGACTAGGACGGGAAGAGGTGTCACAATTCTGAATGGAATCTATTCAAAGTTTTTGGAAAATATTTGGGAAATGAACCGCTCCAAATACTCCAATGTCAGCAGAGCCTGAAAACTTCCAAATCCCTATCTGCACACTCGACAACCTCTGAAGGCCTCCAATGCTTGCCATGTAATTACAGAGACTTTTAAACTCTGACATCACGGAATGTGCACATCCCTTGCGCGACCCAAGACAAATCCATTTGGATCCGGCCATTCAGGATGGCTCACGACATCTCACGACTGGTGGCATCTATTTACAACATCGTGCAGCACTCATAGCACAGCAGTAGGCCTGCAGGTGGTGCTTGGGCGCAGGAGTAACCGACTGCAAGAGCACTGCTTCAAAGAAGTGTTGCAGTGGAGCTCGACCTCTGATGAAGTCCTGGATGTTGTTTTGGAGTCACAGCCTATGGAAGGAGGTGCACCCAAACCCGGGCCGTGTAGAGTTGCTGCTACGATTGTTTCGGGCGACTCCCGTTGCTTTGCGCTGAGTATGTGGCCGGGGATTGGCGGATCGATCCTCTAGGGTCCTGACCAAGACATTGTGCAGGGATGCCCAGGAGGGACTGTTACAGCTACAGTACAGCGTCCTGTAATGCCATGAGAAAGAAGAAGGGCCGCACGAGAGCCAGGGCACCTGCGAAGACCGCACGGCCCAAGCAAACACAGAGTTCGTGACCGCAGTGGAGTACACACCCCGACGCAGCCACACAACAGCAACCGGGCTCTGCTCAACAACTCAAGGTTCGGTCCGCCAGGTTAAGATTGTCTCGTCTCACTCGTCTCTACTTTGGGCGCCCGGACTTGCGGTGTGCTGTTGGGATGCTCTCTCTTGCTTGACCTCAGAGTTGCTGTGGCAGGGCCTTAGGGCTGTGCGCTTTGGTCAGCCGATCACAGAGACCTCGGCACCGCACGAGCCACAGCCGTCCAAAGATGACACCAGACCACGCAGATGTGGACCACAGACACTCTGGGAGCGGCTAGCCCAGCACCGTACATCTATACCTCGGCACCAGCAACGGCAGCACCATCCACCCTCGCAGCTCAAACAGGAGATGCAAAGGCAGGCAAGACAGTGGACGGAGAAGCAAAATGAGCGTGGAGGGAAAAAAGAGGAAAGCCCCCACTAGCAGCACCTCTGAGTCTTCGACTTCGAGTTCAACTAGTCCCACTGCGTGGATTCTGGGCCTGGCATCGCCGAAGCAGGAACCCCCGCAGCCCTTCAGGGTTTACATTCTTCCGGGCCCGCTTGGATATTTGCGTGGGGCCTAGGGTTTTCGGTTTGGGCGTACCTGCTCAATGGTTCGCAAGGCTTACCCACAGCCATGCCACAAAAAAACAACAAAAGAACAATCGACATTCTTAAAAGGTGGGGCGTTTAAGAGTGTAGTTGAAAGCAAGTGTGGGGAAAATGGGTTGGACGGCCGCGGTGGGTGGCCGGAGATCATACACTCTGGCCAGCTGCCCCTTTCCTCCGCTGCAGTCAAGCCAAGCCAAAAGTCACCGGCAAGCCGAGATGCATTACTGAGCCGCCAATTGAATTGCATTCTTAGCCTTGTGGTGGTTTTCATTTTGCTCAGGCCTTTAGTCTTTGTTGCCAGGATTGCTGAACCAGCATTTTGAACACCACAGTGTTGTGAAAGGTTGCTTGCAGTTGCTAGAATCTGCTAGAAGCGTGCTTGCAGTTTGCAATGATTACCTTTATGAAGGCCCTGAAATGCTGCTGTTTGCTGTAGTTGTATCTTGTGATCCTTTCCAAGTGCTGCATTGTGGTGCAATATTCACGGCCTGTACTGCAGTTGACGGTGTTTGTTGCAAGAGCCCTTCAGAAAGTTAGTTTCTGATAGGTCATGTTGCGATCGTCATCGGAATCTATTCCTATTTGATTCCTTAGCTTGCCGATCAGTTCCCCTTCTTTGGCGATGTTGATTTGCTTGTTGACAGGTCTTGAGGCTTATCTCGTTTCATCTGCTGTGCCTTCTTGTGCAGTATTCCAGTCATCCTTAGGTCAAATGTTTGGGTTGCGACCGCTGGTACGAGATGATGTGCTTGGGACCTTGGTAACGATTTCAGGCCAGATGCAAAGAAATCATTCTTGAACGGATCATTGTGGCCTTGCATGTTGCATCAGGCATAATCAGCTTCACCATCTTCCAGGGGTGGTCGGAGTACAAGCATGACGAAATTGAGCAGCCTTGTTGCAAGCATGGAATGCAGCGCTCTTCCTGTCTGGAGCCGCCTTTGCAGTTGAGGTTTTTGACAAAAATTTCGGCACCCGGCTCCATTGTCTGGATGGCGATCCTGTTCATCCTCCCAACTGTCTCCAGCTGTTGGCTGTACTTTCACAGGAGCCATCAACATGCCTTTCGCCATGCCTAGCTGCCACCACCCGGTCAGGAGCTCGAAGCGCGACAGTTGCGTCCTTAGAGCAAAGAGTGCCTGGTGGGAATCTCCAACCATGGCAACATGATGTGGGCCATGGTCAGAACTAACGAAGCTTGGTAGCCCTTTCCTTTGGAAGGCAAATATCACTTTGCTAGGAAGTAACTGTAGGTCCGCACAGTCTTTCAATGAGGCTTTGAAACGATTTAAAGCAACATGCGACTTTGGACGTTGCCTGCTTCAGAGTCTGCAGAATCGTGGCGCATGCAACGCCTGCCGGAGCGAATATGTAAGCTACCAGAATCAGAAGGAAACTTTCCATTGAATTTGGATGATCGTCCACCATGGCGGAGGCCGGGAATATGCGGCTGCTGCTCGTCGCAGGGCGGTGGCCGCCACACTGATTTGCTCATGCTCGTGGCTCGCTGAAATAAACAGCTTCATCAGCGAAGAGCAAGCAATTAAGCTGTGACTTGCTTCGCTTGAATGTCATGCCATGCTTGATCGTGCTTGAGTGTAAGGTCTGCCTTCATGGATCTGGCGGCAAAGGGTTGGTCCTCCTCTTCCAAGGCTGCCGATTTCCGCCAAGCAACCTCAAGAACTGGTCATCCATGATCTGCAGATATCTGCAGGCCTCAGCAGCAGGACCTGGCATGAGCTTTGGTCTGGCATCGCCAACGTTCTGGACAGCATTGTCCCTGAACGTCCTTTTCTTGATCCTCATGCTACTTGACAGAATTTGCCGTATGTTTTCTCGGCAATTTCACCAGTTCACACCGACAGAGCAAGATGCGCAACTTACCGAGGCGTTGGTCTATCATTTATGGTTGCCGACGCAACTCGTCTCCTCAATGTGTTCAGCCAGAGAACACAACCAGTCGTGTTTACGTTTTCTGGCGTCCAAGTTGGGCATGTGCCTCATTTATTTACAAGATGATTGGCTGAGGATGTGATGTGTTGATTTTTGTCCCGTTAAATACAACTGCGAATATTATTTTCAGCGTGGCCGCGGGTATGATTTGCCTCTCAGACGCTGGGCTGCCATGTCTCCAGAGTATGGCTAATAGACACATGGCACATGGCAGGAAACCGTGCAAGCCTTGCAACTGAGGAGTACAAGTCGGTGAAATCATGGCCGGGACTTGTGACTGCAGGGCTGTCTATGCTTTGTGGCATATTCATGCTCGTCACTGGTCCAGCTGAGACTATGGCGTCCTGGATTGTATTTGCTTTCTTGGTGTCTGGCTGTCTTTGTTTATTGCCATGCCGAAGGGGGAGTACCGGTGTCCGGCTTGTAAGTGAGCCAGGGGAAGTAAGGGCCTTTTCGCACCTGCTGATGTGCCGTTGTGGACACATTCGCAGACACCCACTTCGAAAAGCATCTCGCACCACGACCTTACACCAAACGATCGCACTCAACAATGACCTCGTCCCACCAGGGCCTATTCAGCCGTGACTGGGGAGCCTGTGTGAGCACGAGCCCTTGACCCCCACGCAGCTGAGCTGAGCAAGGCACACTTCAAGTTTCTGCCATTCAACGTGTGAGCGCTGGGTTACAGCCACAGAAAACGTGATGGGGTAACTGAGGGCTTGAATGAAAATGAAAACGCCCTGCCCCAAACCCACAACCTCAAAATCTGTCCAAGCCAACCCCACTAGCGCTTCCCCCGACGCCACCCCCACCCTCTGAAGAAGATGCTTACCAAACACGAGTCAAAAGGAAAGGTACCGGCATGTGATGACTTTGGTAGGCATCCTGGTGGAATCTAACATCAACATCCAGCATGGACATGAAGCACGTCTGCTACTGTATTTGTACCTGATGTAGTGCGGGATGAGGCTGGCGCCGGCATGTCCTGCAACAGCTGGGTGGAGCAGCTGGTCAGCAAAGGCTTCGAAGACTGACACCATTCTGCTGTCATCGTCTTGCAGCCAAGGACGGACACGACCAAGAGTCAATCCAGGCAAGAACATGTCTGCCTTGACGTAAAGGGTTTTCACCTCGGTTCAGTCGACCTACTGTCAGGACCGAGATGCAGACGCGGCGGCCGCTAAGTCCCCTCGAGCTTTCCCCAGCTCCAACTCCAAGCTCCAGAGAAAGATGCTCGTCTGCCCATGATTGAAGCGAGAAAGCTGTATGAAAGCAAAGCAGCTTCTGCTTTGAAAGCTGCAAGGCACGATGCATGGAGTTGTCCCCAGAGAAAGATCTGCCGCTGTCCTGCATGTAAGTGCTGGCTGCATACCGCTTTGATTGCGTGAGGTTTGTTGTGGGTGCGGCGCATGAAACGATTGTAGCTGAGAAGCCATGACAGTCTGAGACATCCATGATTTTGGAAATTGCACAGCCATGGGCAGCGCCTGACAGGCCCTCAACCCCCGATCAGCTTCCAACTTCGAAGCGCAGGTCGTGGAGCAATCAGAGGAAGACTTGCCCTCAAAATCTTCCGCTTTGGGTTTTGTTGCCTGGCTGCGGAGCTTAGTCGAGCAGTGATAGCGAGCATATATTGCAGGAGGCCACTTGCAAGTCGAGTAAGTGCAAGCCAGGGGGCCCATGGCTCATGCAAAAGCCAGTGCTCGCAACGTTGCCCAGCGTGCAAGTCCTTCAGTGTTGCATCATTACAACAGCTTGGTTTTGAAGCTGGGGCACAGCCTGGAGCTGCCGTTTTAATCCCATGAGCTGCGGCTGACCGATCAGTATCCATACGGATGTAGAAACAGAAGCCTGGGGTGAAGCTTGTGTTAATGAATTGTCATGCATTTGCTACACTTGTGTGTCTTCCAGTTGGTCAGCACTTGCCTAGGTTTACTTGAATCGAATTCACCGCAGAGCTGCCCGCACTCGAAGCGAGTTCCTTGTCTTGGGAGTGGGGAGGCTTGTTCAGAGATAGGAGGACGCCGGAAATCTACAGGGGCGTTCCCTAAAGCTTTTGGGAGACCGTATAACAAGGATGATCGTATATTGGGGTCTAGATGGGGGCCCCCCATTTATGGAAGCCCCTAAATGTGACATCCTTAGGATTGGTAGCTGCCTGGCCGAGAGCATGTCCGACCGTCGCGAAAGCGTGGCAGGTGCGAAGTTTGCCAGGGAGAGTGAGACAGAGAGAGGGGAAAGTTTCTCGGTACTGATCTGAGCTGGTTGTGGTGTCGTATTGGTCCTCCGGCGTACCGACCAGACTTGGACACCTGCGTTGGGTGCGGGGCAGTGCCCCCAGAGGGCTCTCCAGCACCTGTTGAAGAAGAAGAAAGGGACAATTGCAGAACAACCAACTAGCCAGGGCAATCCCGGTGGTACTGGGAATAGGTGGAGGCTACCAATACACTCTCCCGCTGCTCGGAGAAGCACAGGAATTCATGTCCAGACATTGTCCAAGAAAAATTGCAGTGGGAGCCAACCGAAAAAGCGACGAGGAAACCACCAAGAAGCAAAGGGAAAAAAGTTCGACCGAAGCGAGTACCCAGGCTACACTCGAACTGTGTCTCTTCTTATCAAGGCGCTAGAACTCCCTACACGTTTCTTTGGCTTTTCTTCGACAGCCCACGCATGCTCCTGACTGAGTGCACCGGGGTTGCCCCCCGGGCCCACACCAGGTCCGGTCAGAACTTCTCACCCCCGCGAGCCAGGGTATTGGCGATTCGCTTGCCCAAATTCACAAATGGATTGCAACTTTCTTGCCCGGGAAATGGCCTTCCTCCCTGTCGAGCCGTAGGTGACCTGTGTCCATTCCTTCCTGCTCGACTGGCATGGAGTGAAGGTCCCATTGGTGGCTGCAATCGATACTGGCATAATTCGATAATCTCCCCAATTCTGACCCCACTGGCAGATCTCCACGGTGGGGATTCAGACATGTGTAAAGCTAGACACAGTGGGTCCAACACGAAAAACACAAATGCACATATACGACTACAATGCGGTGCAGGCCGGTCCTACTAAGGTAACTCATCGATGCGCTTTGCTTCACATTTGGTTTTGCAGTCTGTGCTTCCTTGAAGTAACTGCAAGGCAAACAGTTCACAATTGGGCCCATCCTCCCTGAAACGCGCCGCTTCGTTTTTTTTTTGGAATGCTTTCTTTGGGGATATGTTTTCTTTTACTCTTTTTTTGTCCATAGCCTTTCAATGAACAGGGCTTGCACTTGTGCCCGCTTCCATGATACATCATGGGGCTTGGTTGCTTTTTCGGTGAGCCGCTGACTAATTCATTGTCAACAGTTCTCTGCAAACACCACAAATCTCCATCCACGTGCTTGCCTAGGACATCGCAAGGCTCCAGAACACTTACCCCATACTGCTTTGCAAAGTCGACTCACTTTGGCCTGTTGTTCTCCCACTCAGTCTCAAACCACCGTCGCGCAAACATCGCAAACTCACGGCGTCTCGCTTCGGTTCACACTTGGTTTTGCTTCGCTTTTGCCAGTCTTTCCAGCTCTGTTAGCAATTTTATTCCCCCCTGGAGCTCCGCTTCTTCAGCAGTTTGCTCTAATTTGATTCCCTGTTGCGTCTTTAATTCACCTCCCTGTGTCATGTCCAACACACCTGCAGCTGTAGTGTCATGTAGAGGGTCAGCTTCTTCCTCTTGTCATCCTTGCGTGAGCTGATCGGACCCTGGGGATAAATACATCGACAAAGACGTCGTATGTATGGATGCCAGAGTCCACCTTTGCCAGATCTGCCTTGGCCTTGTCTAATCTTCGAAGCTTCTTGGTCGCACCCCCGACTGACCCGGCGTAACGGGCTTCCAGATCTGCATGTCAATTTGTTGTTCTAGATAGTCAAACCTTTTGAAGATGTCCTCGGTCTTGTTGTCCTGCTCAATCCTTTTTGTCATCACTCTTCGCAATCAGCTCTCCTGGCGGCTCCCAGTTCCTTGTGTCTCGCGTCCACTGCCTGGATATATTGCGTGCCGTTCCCAGCTTTTAACGGATTTCAATTACAGATATGCAAGCCATTACCTTGCATGCTATTGGTGATGCTCAAGAAAGGAGCTGGGCAATTCAGTGCTGTACCATTAAGGCATCCCACAACTCAGGAAGTTTACAGTAGTAGCTGTGCAACATGTGCGCGTGTACAAAGAAAGAATTGAGTCGACCAAAGTGAGCTGCAATATTTTCTGGGGGGTTGCACGGCTTGTGGGGTTCCCCTTAGGAGTATTTTTGTCAAAGGCCGGCTTGACAACCAAAGGGTGCAGAAAGTTGAGCTGAAATAGTCAGCGCAGAGGCAACCACTGAAGACTTTGGGAGCCCATTTCGTCACTATTTTTCGGACAGGCATGAGACACGGGGGTTCGGGATGACTGAAGCTGGGTGGTTTTTTGGTGGCGGGCTTCGGAAGCGGATGGGGTTGGGGTTTTCAGTCATCCTGGACCGCATTTTCTTGACCTGTCAGGTTGTTCAGACGGACATCGGCCAAGGGGTGGAACCCCCATCTGTGTCCCTTTTGGGAACACATGTGGCCAGCAGAAGAAAAATGAAGGTTTTGTGAAACCCCATGGCCTGGTGGCTAGTGCGTCAACCCCACAAAGCAAAACAAAACCAAAGAGAGAATGAAGCAGAAGAATGAAACATGGAGTAGCAGGAAGAGGGAGTGGACAATTATTTTTAGCGCCATATGTCAGAAGCAAAGCAGCATTGTACCGTTTGTCTTTCAAGGAGGGGGTGAACCTTGTGAGCAAAGATGCACGAGAGTTGTTGTACCGTGTTGAGGGGGCGATGTTGTGCTGGGAGTCATGTCGTGAAGTCATTTCCTTTCACAGCAGGCTAAGTAGAGAGCAAACATTCAAATGACAGTCCGGCGGGGGTGTATCTCAACACGGGGAGTACAGGAAAGACATTCTATTACTTGGGATTATGGGACAGCAGGATCTTCAATGGTCTTGGATGCAAAAATGCCTAGGCCAGATCTGAAGCTTCGACCATTCCGAATGTCACCATGAGTTTCAATCAAGAGAGAGGCAGGTTTTTGCAAAGCGTTAACATGCGTGCAGGAGCGGGATCCGCTCCATCCGATCCACGTACGCGACTGGAAGGCACAAGTAAGTGAGGCAGAAGCCGGCAGCTAGCTAAAGTGGTTGCTTCAAACACGGGGTCAGCTTGAAACAGCTTCGTACAGCACAGGCAGCGCAGTGCAGGGCAGATGCAGTTAATTCCCGTCGCTTTGTTCTTTTGTTTACTTCTGCTTCGATCCGCCAAGGGATGTGTGATGGCGTACCAGGCTGGATGAAGAAAGCAACAGCGGCATGATGTAAATTGGGAGCCATTGTTCGATGTCAAAATCCCATCCAGGAGAGCAGCGCTAACGTCAGTGCGCGGCTGACCACATCCCATGAATGTTGAAACTGCCTGATCTAGGCTTACAAGTAGCCATGATCTGAATTCAGTTGGAACTGGCAATTTTCTTTGCTGGTCGCTTGGCCACACACAGCTTGGGGCAGCGAACCATCACAATGCACAACTCAACTAG